GGGGGGGGGAAGGGGGGAATTACACAAGTGGCAAAATAGATAACCTGTTTAATTAGGTAAGTAAAATGTTTCATCGAATTTCGAAGATTTGAATGAGCTGTCTAAAGAATAGCTGTTAACAAATTGGATGAAAAACTTAGTCTCATTGACAAGCAAAACAGGCGTCATTTTAACGACTTTTTCTCTGCTACTGTACTTACAGGATCACCCTTTGTATTGTGATTTCTAGAAAAAGGGTAGAAGGCGCCTAGCTGCGTCCATCTGGCACACAGTTCTTTAGTAGTAGCGCCTTGAAAGCCACAGATATCTGGTCCAACCAGAGGAATACCGTACAAATTGAAGTTCAATATTCCTGAATGAAAGAGAAATTCAAGATATCATGAAATATTGAGTAATTTCTGCGACCAGGTAATTTTAATGAATACAATTTCAATGTGTGATTTATATTGGTGTGAACTCTAAATATTTAGCACGAATTTTAGGGCCATTTTACATGGAGGTGGGGGACCCAGGTAAGCGAGGAAACCCACCTAAGTGGGGTAATTCGCCTCTCCATATAATCCCTCATTTTAATTTGAGCATGCTTACATGATAGGTTGGGTAATCCGCTAAGGTGGGTTTCTTTGTCTGCCGGGTAGGGTAACCCTGCCAGTCGAGGTCGCATTTTGCCAAGTAAACGTCTCAAGGAGGGGTAACTCGCCTAGCCACTGTCGTAATTTGTCTGCTCCAGACATTAAAATTGCACGGTTCATTCTTAAGTACTACTTCCACTCCCTTTCCGACAAAATTACATTGTACAAGTTAAGCCATCACTCCTCTGTTCTCCCCAAATTTCTCGAAATTCTATCTCCACGACGGCAGCGGGCTAATCCTTCTTCGAATGCGTCGAAGACGTGCAACAGCAGCATCGTGTTGCTGCGTTTGAACAGGCCCTCAAACACAGTATGAAAATGGAACACAATTTTGGCAACACAGAAAATTAGACTGATAGATGTAGAAAGACTAACAAGAGTGTTTTTGCCATAATTTGGTCGTTGGTTATTTGTTCCTCACCTGGTATGGAGAGATACAAATCGTTGAAGGTGGCAGCGTTATCTCCCAACCAATGCCCCCCATGACGACCGGCACTGGGAAACGTTGAACGTGAAATCACAACACTCCGCTTTCCTCTGATTTTCTTCAGCGCGCTGATTAAAAAACATAAATACACAAAAAATGTGCTCAGCAAGAGTAGAAGAGACTCTGCTAAGCTTGTATGAACAAAAGTCTCTCTCTAGGAGCCATTGTTTGATCACCCGAGAAAGGAAGTTTTACTCTGCAACAGATCCCGGTTTCCTTTAGTTTGTGGAACGAATAGCGAAAAAAAGCAAGAAAACTTTGCTGCGCGAAAACCCGCAAAGGCAACAAAGATCTTGCTCGAAAAAAAAAAAAACAGTAAGGAAAAACGTTCCGCTCCTGGTTTTAGACCATAGAAAGTAAGATGTAAAGTTCAATATACACGGCAGGTTTCCATGGACTGTTACTCATAAAGATCTCTGTTTATTTCTGTTGACCAACCTACCTTACCCTTAGGTCAAGGTTGCAGTTATGTGCAGTGTTGGCTACTTTTTGAATTAGCCGATGAAATGAGTGTTAAAAGAATGCTATTGGCCATTACTTTCCTGGGGTCAGATGTAAAACTCCATGTTTTCTTTCCTGACATTTTGCTTCAGAGTTTCACAGCGACATATCTCAAGCCTCAATATGCGTTTCTACGCACCACGTCTCTACGCTTCGCTTCAGAATTATCTAAATTTACGAACTTTCTTCGCGAACTCGGCTGTACGGACTACAAATGAAACCAACTATTAAACTAAACTAAAAGAAAACAGTAGTCAAAAATACGTGTTCAAAAACTGTCATGTGCACGAGGAACGTGTTAGATGTGTCGAATTTCATTCGATTGATGTTCACTTGAATTTGTTCAATTCTTCGAATTCACGTGCTAACAAGCGCTCTTAACATTTCCGGTCGGCACGCACACAAAAGACACGTCATCAGGTATCGCTCGTTTCTTGCACGTGAAAACCTCACAATTCCTTCAGTCTAAAATCTTTAATTGGGTTCTCCCAAAACAGTAAAAATTATACTAGGAGATTTTAGGGAGATTCAGATTCAAGCCTACTCTAAGCATTTGTGGTGCTAACCTTACCTCATTGTCTGGACCATTTCCGACAGGCCATACAAGCTGTGCACATCATAATGTGAGTAGTCGTGATGTTTTGCTGACATGCAGAGTGTTTTGCTGTATAGCGTCCCTCCTGTTACATGGGGCACGTACGGAGGGTGGTCCAGAGGTGAATCGGCTGGACAGCCCTTTTCAGAGCCATCCACAAAACTGGACGGTTCATTCATGTCAATCCACAGGCCGTCAAATTCAACTTCCTCGTGAAAATGCGAAAGCATCTGTTCCCAGTAAGCCTGGGTTGCTGAGTAGGTAAAGTCTGGAAATACAGTATCCCCCGGCCAGACCTACAAAAAGTAAAATAATATTACTATGTGACTTTGTCACTTCAGATAGGGCAATAACTAACATGAACCGATCTGATTTGTCTATTGCCGATCCAATGTTTTCCAAGGATTGGACTGGTCAGGCACAATCCCAAATAATCATGCAAGATCACTCTTGAAGGTTTTCTTGTAGTTTTGGGACTTCTATCTCTATTAGAACTACCTTAAGGTAAAATATTATTTTTCTTCCAACTTCCTGTTCTCCCTGTCTCTTTTTTTGAAACATCAGACGTGAGTAAATGCTCGATCGGTTTTCGATCAGACTTGCACTCTGTAAGCATACAATGTATCGTCCCCAAGTACCCAATCCATGATGGTTTTTTCTTCTTATTTTCCGAGCTTGCCTGGGAGTGGACTGTGCTGGGATAATATCCACCTATGTTTTGTACTGACCTCGTGCAAAGATCACAGTCCGATACTCCCCTAGTACTGCTCTCACGCGCGGGTAATAAGATAATTATATATCAACAAGTAAATATAATCGCGTGTGCCACGCTAGTACATGTACGTGGTTATTGGCAGGCATATAACTACAGTACTAGCAACTGTTCCCATTAGCCTATCCTTGAAACTATTGCATTCAATACTGCGTCCTGGATTGTTACTCTTATAGTTTGCACTTTGCATTTTACACTTGCTAGCCATCTCAGAAATGCTACGAGCATTGTGTAAAATGTTGCACCATACAACCAAACTACGCCCCACACCTTACCACCTCCTCTACAGGGTTGGGTGGG